TTATAACTTATACATGTGAGATTTCAAACATTTGTACAGGGTTATTGGTTATAAATGTCACCCCCTCTATCTTTTTTATTTGACATTTTAGAAAAAAGTGTCTCAAATAAAAGTTTTATGGTTGAAATTAATTTTTTTAAAAAACTCACTTTTGCATATACAGGGTGTTTCAGAAAAGCTGGTCGTGCTCCAACTTTCTTATTTTAAATAGAATACCCTTCTATTATTGATTGAATATTCGAATTCTACATAGAATTCTGAGCAGATTTTATTTGATATACCCTATACCCTAAGTTCAACTCTTTTGGAAATATTGACAATTGAAAATTTATTTTTTTGCAACCTTGACAGGCTGTAAAGCTGAACGGTTAACATTTGAGCAAAACCGATCTTACATTTTTGTCTTAGATTTTCATAAGCTATCATTTGACACCAACATCGAATTTATTCGGGGATTAAATTCAATTGGAATTTTTAATCATGGATTAAATGAAAAGTTGGTTTCAAATATTAGTGTCAACTGATAGTTTATGAAAATCTAAAAAAAAAAATGTGATATCGGTTTTGCTCGAATATTAACCGTGTAGGTTTTACAGCCTGTCAAAGTTGCAAAAAGTCAATTTTCAACTGTCAATATTTCCAAAACAGTTGAACTTAGGTATAGGGTATATCAAATAAAATCTGCTCAGAATTCTATGTAGAACTCGAATATTCAATCAATAATAGAAGGGTATTCTATTAAAAATAAGAAAGTCGGAGCACGACCAGCTTTTCTGAAACACCCTGTATATGCAAAAGTGAGTTTTTTAAAAAATTTAATTTCAACCATAAAACTTTTATTTGAGACACTTTTTTCTAAAATGTCAAATAAAAAAGATACAGGGGGTGACATTTATAACCAATAACCCTGTACAAATGTTTGAAATCTCACATGTACCTATAAGTTATAATTTTTTTTTCAATGCCTACCACACATATAGGTTTTCCTGATGAGGATGAAAGTGAAGAAGAAAATAATGAAAACGAAAATTTTGGCGAGATATCAGATTTGGATGACGGCAATAATGATGATGATAATGGAAAAGGTGACATCAGTTGTGATGGAAGTGACTTCGAAGTAATAGATAACAATGAATACAATTTTTTATTGTTCTGCCTTATCATATTTAGGAGTCTTGAGAGCAACTTTAATTTTAATTAACCGATTGTCAGACGGGAGAAAATTGTTCGGACACATAAATATTTTTCGCAATTTAACAATAATTGTGCAACGTATGTTGCTCATTGCGGTTTCTGCCATATTGAAGATATGCATATTCTCATAACTACATTTCATTGAAACATACGGCAGACGGGTTAAAAACGTTCATGATGAACTTTGAAAAATTTTGACATTTTTATTGTTTCTGCCAATTGCTAATATACCTTGGATACATCTGCCAATACATTTCTTGGATTTTACTTTGCATGTCAAACTTACCTTCCAAATGGCAGATGGGAGAAAATTATTTCAGCATCTCAGCATTTTGATACAACTTCAAAAAGTGTTAAATATTATTATAACAACTGAGATTTTCTGCCATTTCCTTATTGATCTCTAAATCGTAAATGCAACATAAATTTAATTTGGCAGACAGGAGGTCGTTGATCCACATGTCGGATTTTTGCGACATTTTGAAATTAGTAATATGATATTTTATACTAACCTAGGGTTTCCGCCGTTTAGCTTCCTTCTACTCATTTTTGTTTAAATTACCTTCACAATGTGTGGCAGACGGGATAATATTGATCCAAATCTCCACTTTTCATTACATTTTCAAATAAGCATATCATTGTGTTGTCACACGCGGGGCTCTTTGAAATTTCAGCCATTCCACTTTTTATTGCATAGAGAATAACCACCTTTAATGGCAGACGGGAGAAAATCGTTTTGAAAAAATGGTCGTTATGCACCGGTCAAACAAACGCCGGTGCCGGCGATCGTCGATCTCAATCGTTCGGAAACGTTAAATAATCGACGAAGGGAAAAGAAAAAACATAACAGAATATACAATATCATTACAGACGAGAAATAGAAGATTTCATTATAACTGACTTTGACAGAAAGTCGACAAAGTTTCAATGCTTTCAATAAAAGTTTTTGTTGTTAGTAAAGAGTCTTATAGTGGACCTGCGGAATCCATGTTAATGCGCTTGCTCTGCATTCAGCTAGGTACTTGTCTGGAATTGTTAGGTAAACCAGAACAGATATAAAAAAACAAGGGACAGAGCGCACAACACTACCTCGACAGCTGGGGAAAGAATGGCACATATTGAGAGGCTCCTAATAGATATTTATGTTATAAGGATCATAATGACGATCATTATGGTACTAGCCGTGAATATGATCAGACGAGGCGTCAGCCGAGTCTCATACAATACGAATTTCATACAATATTTTATATTTCGGCGATTATAGTCAATACTTATCTGTTACATTTGAGTTTATCGAAAATAATTGAAGAAGGCTAATTTTAGTAATATGCTTGACTGCTTGACAACTATAGTAACAACGGAATTGTTTGTTGGTATTGTCATATTGTGAAAGTTAAATTTACTGAAAAACAATGAGCGACAATTTCGACACCTATGTCCAAGATCAGTTTATCGAATTGTGAAAGATTTTGTAATTAATTTTAATCGTTAAATTTTGTTGTTTCCAATAGATGTTTCATATTTGTGCCTGCTATACCTATATTTTTTTTTCTTCATTATAGTACTTAGTACTATAATGAAATCATTATGGTACTCAAGACTATAATGAAATCATTATAATACTCAATCCGATAAAGTATGTTGTTTTGACACTTAAATGAATTCCATAATATTGTCATTTTGACACGCCGGAATATAAACCAAGAAGTCACATCGAAATATCACCTACCGCACCTTCAAACAAACTAATGCATATATTTAAAGAGCACACACGCTACTATCGAAATATCTAGAAAAGTCTAGAAATAGTCTAGGACGCAGTGACGATTTTCGGCACTTATTTTTCTAGTCAGACAACATGGATAGAATTCTAGGGTTAATAATTCTAAGCAAAATTCATATATTTTTAGGGGCCTTTTGCGATGGGTTGTGGCGCAAAATGCGTAAGAGCTTACGAATGCACGGCTCTTTTTTTTCCAGTGATAAAAATAGGTCTACTAATGAGAAGTATACCGAAGTTACATAAAAAAATAGTCCGGCTAATCTGTGAGTATGGATAATACGTCTGGCAAGTGAAAAATTGAAGATCCGAAAAATTTCAGCCAGACTCTTTTTCCACTATCTGAGATAAGCCAAATTGCTATTTTCATGTACTTTATGTTCTATTGTAGTGAATGTGAAATATTTATGACTGGGAAAATAAGTGAAGTTGTATTTTTCATTGATCTTGTGAACCCATCCTTGTTTTGCATCGCTGAGAGAACAAACTATTGAATATACACCAACTGGGAAAATAAGTGCTGAAAAATTTCACTGCCTCCTAAACTGAGAGGCAAGATCAGGAAGACCAGGAATGTCAGGAAATGAAAACAGTCAATAGAAGAAAATCGTATAAGAGTAGGTATGCAAAAACTAAAAATTGGTGCATATAGATACTTTTGGAAAAATTAAAAGTATGAAAATCACAGGAAAAAGAATAACAAATTGTAAAAGAAAAATATTTCAGGTGAATAATAATATCGGCAATTTGGTAACAGATAGAAATTAATTATTACACAGAAGATTAAATTAGAAGAATTTTACAGGGTATCCCAGGTGGACTGTTTTCCCTGGAACACCCTGTATACAAATTCATATAAGCCTCAAACACTACCTAGACTATCTATATACAAAAACTGAGAAGAGTTAGCGTAAATTGGATAGCAAAAACTTCAGGACTGGAAGGGATAGAAATGCCTTGCGAAGGTCTATGTTCAGCAGTAGACAAATGCTTCTTGAGGAAGGCCAATGGCCAATATTGAACTATCTATGTTTTAACAAATTTTAAACCATTTTGATAAATTACTCTTTACTATCTATCAGGTATTATTACGAAAGCATCTTACAATTCTGTAACTATGCAATTCAATATCTACTAATTTCACTCCTGGTTTCTCCAGATTTTTAAAAGATATTGTTAATGCATAATATTTATTACAATCAAAAATGTCTAAGGACTATTTTAATCCACTAGAAATCCAAACTATATAGAACTTTTAAATCAACATAAAAATACATAAATTCCAAAATTCCACTGATCAAGATCTTGAACAATCCACATCAATCACTACTTATTATGCATGCACCCATGTTATTAGGCATAAAAGTGAAAACGGATATTTCTAAAAAAAACTTATTGGCACACTCTGCCGGATAGAGTGCTTAATTTTAAACTCTCTGGCCGTAGTGATTTCAGAGTGTGTGAATGAAATTCCTTTAAGCTGATTTGATTTTTTTGGCGACATTTTTGCGTTGATCTTTCTAATTTTAGGATTTCAGAGGCCAAAAACCGTTTGGAGCTTATATCATCCGGTAATTGCATCAGATATTTATTAGTAAGAAATGTGCTATTGTTTGAAAACAAAAGCCAACAGCAATAATTTTCTAACAAATGGGACATTTTTGTGATATTTGTTCGTAACACGCATCTGCAATAAATGAGCACCCGGATTGACAGGAGGATAATATAGTTTAGTGGTTTATGTTATGCGGCAATAAGAAGGGATTTTATTGCATATTAATGCGGCGAGGAATTATTTTGGCAACCGAAATGCAATAAATTCTCAAGTTGAAACTTTATATTTGCTCATCAGTAAATGTTTTATAAAGAAATTTGAACTAATTTTACTAGATACCCAATCAAATTATGCAATGCCATTTTTTCACATACCTTTATAAAGAACCCAAATCGATCCCTTTGATAGATCCAGATAATAATATGTAGTTAACTAGAACAGTAGGCCAAGAAGACAAAGAGAAGTTCTTACCTTGACTGTATAAATTCGCCAACTCTTGCGCCCCCTTATGTTGTGGTCCCCATCTCGGACCTCCTTCTCTAGGTTCTGGAACCACTTCACAATTAGCATTGGGATCGTCCTCCAACATGGAATTCTCCCAAATTTGTCGTTCCGTTTTCACCGGTGCCAACAGATTGGTGGTTACCGCATCGACTAGGGGACATTCCAGCACTTGGTTGACTTTGGGCGAACAACTCAGTGGTGGTAGTTTGGGTAGCGCCATTCTGAAGAATTAATAAGTGATATGTTTTCGTCAGTAGGTACTCATGTTCTGAAGGGCCGGATTTTTCAACATTCTAGTAATAATTTGTGCGAGGGATAGCGCTGGCAATTTGCGGCAACTACTTGCGATTATCAGTAAACATGGAGCAGTGGTCGAACGAGCAGCGCGCATTTATAGTCGAGGCGTTTTAAAAATTAATCGATTCCTATGTCGCGGCATGGCGACGTTTTGCTACAATACTAGGCGTATCCTTGATACTCCGTCAAAACATTTATTGAAATCGTATGGGTTCGAAGATTGAGACAAAGTGCTACGGTGGCAAGTCAGACGCGTCCCGGCCAACAGAAGACCATCAGAACGCCACAGATTATTGAGATTGTGCGACTAAAAATTCGAGGTGCTCAATTACAGAAACGTCGCCGTACCGCGACATAGGAATCGTTCGATTTAAAAAACACCTCGACCATAAACGCGCGTTGCTCGTTCGATCACTGCTCCATGTTTATTGATAATCCGCACTCAGTCGCCGTCGCCGCAAATTGCCAGCGCTAACCCCCCACAAATATTAAGTTGGATGGAGGGCGCGTTCGAAAAGGGAAATTTACTCTGATCCACCCTGTATAAGTATAAGTAGGTAGGTACTTGAAATAATAAAAAAATAAAAAGCAAACTACCTCTCACTATTCTTATGGATTTTGGCCACCAACAGAATTTGATGAGATTTACATAATGATATTAAGGGAATGTATTCTTGGTATATCATTAGGAATTGCAGTTATAGGATAATTACCTACTTGAAGTATATGGGTTTTGTAAAGAGTGGCCAAAATTTACATTAACAGGAAAAATTTATACTGTTTGACATTCTCTTTTGAACCCTCCACTCGATTTCGATGTTTTTTTTTTGAGTTGTAGCCTGATTCTTCAAAATTTCGTCTGACTTATAACATAGTATCATAGTATTATGGTTTTAAAAAATAACACTTTCACCAAATGGAAAAAATGAAAGGACCTTTTTAATCATTTATTTGTAAGCATTCTCTACACAATAAACTGATTGGTGAAAGTGAGCAATGATTCTCACGGAAACGACTTAAAGGTGGAAAACGACACCTTTCCATATCGAATTCGAGTGTCAAAGTGAGGAAAACTTCTTCGAAAGGCTGTACTTTCAATAATAAGAAAGATATCAGAGAGAATAATAAATCGAAATGTTCGGAAAAAATCGGGCTACGATTTGTTCTTGAAAACTATTTTAATGGTTATTGATTGACTCCACAGGGGGTCTCAAAAAACTCTGAAAATAACTTATTATCTTTCCATCCCTGGTATTTAATACAGGCGAATAATTTATCGACGGCAAAAAGTCAGATGTATTTATGAAAAATCAAGCTACATGGATGGATGGTTCAAGAGAAAATTCATGTCAAACTTACTATATTTTTTCCCCGTTTCTGTAATTATGGCGGTGTGTATGTTGGTCACTTTGTACAAAACCCATATACTTTAGGTAGGTACCTACCTTACTGCAATTCCTAATACTTATGTACCAGTAATGCGTTCCCCTAAGTGCATATTATAACATGAAATATTGAGAAGTATAAATAACTAGTGGATACCAGGCCTGTGCTACTACGCTAAAAAAATAAGTACATTTTGTTCATTTGTTGAAAGACGCAAATGTTTTAAGACGGGGATTGACAACCTGCCCACCTCTCCATCGTCACATTTGACAGTTGACACCTGTCAATTTTTCGCAACGTCTAAGCTATCCGTTCTAAACACCGGGCAGGCATATGACGCCCTTTTGTCCTATTTTGACAGCTGACATCTGTCAAAACTAACATTTGATAGCTTTTGAGTATTCCAAATTGTAATATCACCCGAACTTAAAGTGTTTGTAAAATTTCAGCAAAATCGGATAGTTTCAAAGTCTATAACGGACATAGAAACATTTTTTGTGTTTCATAGATAGTTATTGAAACAACAAGTTTTGAAAACGAAATAGCTATATATGTAACAAGTTGTAAAATGAGCGTGTTTTTTGCACTAAATGTGAAGATTAGGCCACGAGCTTCGCCAACACATTGTGTGCAAAAAAACAGCCATTTTGCGACGTGTTTCATACAAGATTTTTTGTGATTCATTCAAAATATTTAAAATTTAAAATTTAAACTCATTTTAACACTGACACGAAACGCACTCTAAATCCCATTTCAAAACTCAGTGATGAAATGAGATCTCATTTTAACACTGTATTAAAACACACTGCTTATTTTGGCGTTTGTGTTAAAATGAACCAGTTTTGACAACTAAAATCAATGTCAAAAAGATGACATTTCGTAACTGAATTACAAAAACGACCTTTTCGCATAGCCGAGACAGTTTGCTGGACCGAGCCGTAGACGAGTTCCACAAGTCGAGCGAGTATGAAATAGCTATTTATACAATAAGTTACGAAATGAGCGTCTTTTAGGCACGCGACGTGAAAATTGTCCAACGAGGCAAAGCCGAGTTGGACAACACGTCGAGTGACTAAAAGACATCGTTTCGTAACGTATTGTATACAAGATTTTTTCTACTGGCATTTTATAATAAAAAAACACAATTTTATTTCATGTGAATAAGTCGATTACACCCAAAATCTTTGTTACCTGCTTTTACTTGACACCTGACACTTTTCACGCGATTTTCTTTTCAAAATTCGACATCAATAATTAAAATCCTAGAAAGTAGGTAATAACACAAAGTTCTGTTTTGAGTAACCCAAACGTTCAATTCAGTAATTCCATTTTCAATATTCCTAATAAATACAAAACAAAATTCAAATATGTGTTTAGTGTATTTTTTATTTCTGAATAATGAATGACACTTTTAGGCACTAGTGCTTAAAAATTACTTTTACGCACTCATAAGTCACTTTTACGCATTCAAAAGTCACTTTTACGCACTGAGTGCCTAAAAGTAACTTTCACGCACTCAGTGCCTAAAAGAATGTCGTTTCAAAACTGAAATGACAATCGAAAAGTTGCTATTATGAAACGTCAGTAGAAAAAAAGGTTTTCGAACGAGTTTTTCATAATGCTTTTCTACAAATGCAAAATAAAACAAACAAATAAATATGTAATTTGTTAGAAAACAAATCACCATCATTAAAAATTAACAAACGCAATTTGTGTTGTCATGTCAATATGATAGGACCAAAATAAATAAAAAAGGAAGTAGCGTTTAGAAGTTGATGATAGGAACTTGAATTTACGAACAATAGATGACAAATATCCACTGACATCTTTAATAAATTAGACAAGAGCCAATATTTCTTCACACTAGATTTGGCCAACGGATTTCACCCAATTTAAATGCATCCTGAAGATATTCAAAAAACCGCTTTTTCAACTGAGAATGTTCATTACGAATATAAACGTATGCCTTTTGGTTTAAAAAATGCACCTTCCACTTTTCAACAAGTAATGGACAATATCCTTAGAGGTCTTCAAAATGAATAATGTCTAGTTTATCTGGACGATATTGTCGTCTTTAGCTCATCCCTTCGTGAACACATTAGCAGATTGAGAAACATATTTCTTCGACTACGTCAAGCAAATTTTAAGGTCCAACTTGACAAATCGGAATTCCTTCGCAAAGAAGTTAGTTATTTGGGACAAGTGATGGTGTCAAACCAAATCCAGACAGAATTGATGCGATAAAAAATTCCGGGATATCTAAAACACCCAAGGAAATTAAAAGCTTTCTAGGCATTGTCGGCTACTACCGAAAATTTATTAAAGATTTTGCAAGTATCACTAAACCTTTAACGAAATGCCTCAAAAAGACCGAAAAAATAATTCATGACTCAAATTTCATATTAGCCTTCGAAACATGCAAAAATGTACCTATTAATTTTGTTTTAACAACAGATGCCTCGAATGTACCCTTAGGAGCTGTCTTGTTTCAAGGACAAATCCGTTCTGATAAGCCAATTGCTTTTGCTTCTAGAACCCTGAATGACAGTGAAACACGATATAGTACCATTGAGAAGGAATTATTAGGCGTAGTTTGGGCTTGCAAGTTTTTTCGGCCGAAAATTCACGATATATACTGATCATCGACCTCTCGTTTAGTTATTCACAATGCGTGAACCCAGTAGTAAGCTCATACGTGGGAATGTTAAATTAGAAGAATTTGACTTTATTATCGTGTATAAAAAAGGAAAACTCAACGTAAATGCTGATGCTCTATCAAGAATCCAAATCAATACACTTGAAAATAAAATTGATTTAGATTCAAGGATCAATAATCCAGGCGATATAGATCTAGAACAACAAAATACCCTTGAGTATTTACGAAAACTTGTAGAAAGTTTTTCAACATACGATATTGATATCGACAAAAATACTGAACCAAACCAAACCAGTAATACAGAGACTATTGAAACCAATGACATTTCACTAATGGACCGGCCCTGGCCATATTCTTGAACAGTGTTTATTTGCAGTCAACATTAGAAAGAGAGGTCTGAGAGAGATGGAGCTATTTGTGGCAAATAACACTCATATTTCCATCTAAGGGCCGTAATAGGTTGTCATTCTGCCTTCTTATTTTGCAATTAAATGCAGTACAGGGGGGAACTGGGGAACAAAATTAATATTTAATTGGTCTTTCACTCAAATATAACAAAATAGTCAGATCTGGGAGTGATATTAAAAAAAAAAAAAAAAAATTAAACCGATCGGAATAAATTAACGTTGACACACAAATTGGATGTTAAACAAAAAAATTATGAACATCATAAAATAATCAATTACTTCAAAAATCCCTAAAATCAATAATGAAACATTAATTTTCCAATTTCTTCGAGACTAGAAAATCACAAATAATAGTATATTGTTGTATTAGGAGTAGAAGCTTTACTTTTTTGTGCTGAAACTGAAGTGAGGCTTGCAATACTGCTGAAGCACAAAAAAGTGCTTCTACTCCGTATGCAACACGCTATTTTTTCTC